AATATATATTATAAAAATTACAACTAAATTATAATATTATATTTTAAAAAAAATTTTGAGATCATTATTAACTTAAAATACGTATAAATAAAATGTTATGTAATGTTCGGACACGGATACATGCTACATGTCACTGGGAACAGTACTTATGTCTGGACAAGTTTTATGACAAACAAAATTTTATTTATTTAAATTAATATTAATTTCAAATGCTTTTTACCTTAAAGACAAATTTAAACTAGTTATTTTTTGTCATTAAACATCTATTTATATTAATCTTTCCCGTCAGCATACTAATTTTCTAATTATGGTCGGACACTGAGATAATTTCGTCCGCGGTCTGGCTACTGGTACATTGACGCATTCTATTATTTAAATATTTTAATTAATAATTGTTATAAGTGAATTCAAATAATTTTTCCTTGCTTAAAGGAAAATCTTGAGTTTTCAAATGAATTACAAATATTTATATTAAAAACCTTTCTATTATAAATTGTATTATTTATGATAACCTACATTTAAACAATTACTGGTATGTTTATAAGGATGTAATTACTTATAGTGCAGAATGTAAAGAAAAAAACTATAGCTGCGTAAGTGTTTGTGAAATTTGATTGATTCTTAAGAAGATAGAAATTTTAAAAATTAGAAATTTATTTTATTAGCCTAAGATGTATTTACATACACAAGAAGAAAATTAAGCGAGAGAAATCTTAAATTTGTTCAAAGCGGATCTTAATGTATTTCTGTGCGAATTTATATACATATAAGAATATTAATAATAAGAGAATCTAAATCTGCGAATAATTTTATTGTGAAAAATAATCGTGAATGCGTTTCAAGACCGGAAAAGATTTCGACGCAGTTTACAGAATATTATATATGTATATAAATTTACAAAAAAATATTTAAGCACTGAGATTCATCACTTTGACCGAATATAAGATTTCTCTAATTTCACGTAATCTGTAAGTGTTATAAAATTTAGATAGGTAACCTCCAATGAAAAACACAACATTGTGTCAAGAGATTCGTAAATTTGGAAGTTGATGTATTTATAGCGGTCTGCCTACTCGTTCTTACTTGTCGCTAACAGTCAATTACTAATAATAGTACTAGTGAAGTTTAAATAAAATAAAATTGGTAATTTGGTTTACTTTACAATGTTAAAAAGTCCCTAAAACTAAATTTTATAATAATCAAATTTTTTAAAATTCGGTCCTCCATACTGGATCCTCCATTTTTAATTTTATATTTTTGATCTTATAAGAGAACTTCGCGAAATGTTAATTTTGATTTTAATGAAATTGTATTTATACATATAGTTTGTATAAATAGATGAATTTAGAAAATATTAGTTGCAATTAGTTCCAAAAACTGTTTTAAGAGGTGAAATCACCTTTTATATATAAAGCCAGTTTTCGTAATAACTCAGAAATTTTTCGAGATA